CAGGGCGCATGGCGATGACACATATATGAATGGCGAATAAAGCGCATATGGCGCTATGACGATGACCAATTTTTCATGGCGATGGCGCATATGGCACGGGCCAAATCTAGCCATTGACTACTATGTTGCTTTGGCAAACATTTATTTGGGAGAATTTGACTTTGCACCCCACTTTTTGGATGATATTAGACTTTGCACCCCATTTTAAAAAACAATTGACTTTGCACCCTATCATATAACATTTGTGAAGGAAAATTTCTAAATGGGGTGCAAAATCAAAGTTTTTTAAAAATGGGGTGCAAAGTCCAATATCATCTGAAAAGTGAGGTGCAAAGTCAAATTCCCCCTTTATTTTTTTATATCTAAAGTTTGCTGCTGTTAGGTTTCGATTGTGTGCTAAACTTTGTGATGTAACTGGTGTTCTTGAGACAACTTTATTCACTAATGAAGTATTGAAGTTGCTACATTTGGTTGAAATGAATGTCGCCCCTCAATTAGTTGATTGTGAAGAGTTAAACGACAGGGTCAGTGACATAAACTTCATTGTTGCTGTCAAATCTCAATGTGCTATCTCTCAGCCAAACACCAAAAAAACTTTTTCTCTTCTCTGTTTGTCTTCACCCATGATGAAAACTGTTAAAGACCTAGCTATTGGCGAAGCAAATTCAGGTGCCAAAACCGGAAAGAGGAAGCTTGTAATTGATGAAAGCTTAGTTATCAATGACACAACAACCAAAGTGCAGGGGTTAGCTCAGATCAAGATCTTGTATATAATTGTGTCACAAGTGCAAAAATATGAACTTATCTAAATTCTTAGTACAAAGGTTGTGTATTATAAGTATGAAACTATAATACTACTTTAGGACTTAGCCTATCTACTACTAATGAATAAGGAAGGCTTACCTTGATAGCCTTGACTGGAAGACTGATTCATATTATCATATTAACTGATACCTTATCATTATTCCTTTATTCATAGATTATTTAACTGTAAATATCCATCAATGTAATGTATAAAACTTGGGTTTAGCTTCTAACAAATTATAGTTTAGTTTTAAGGTGACAAAACCAAAAGGTCTTCGTTTTTCAAAAGTAATTCGACTTTTGTGACCTAAAATCTTCAACCAACAAATAAATATATATTGTTTGAATGAAAAGAACAATTATAAAAAATTTATTTTAAATTTTTCCTTAATAACTCAATGCTCTATATTCTTAAAGAATATAAATTTTGCATCATTTAAATTTTATAAACATTATTACAAAAATCAACTTTGAACTATTCTTATATACAAGTTGATATTATCAAACATCATTTTTTTTCAAATTTAGAGAATCGCTTAAATTTAGCAAGAGAAGTTTAGCAGTAATCATATTGTTAATTTTATTCATATGTATATCGACTTTTGTGGACTAAAAATATACAACATTTTCTAAAATTAATTTGATACACAAAATGATCTAATGTAAATGTAGACAAGTGAATAAAAAATTAGATTATTAGCACACATTAATTGAGTAAAGAACTTATTAATTGTAAACTTTTTTATCATTTGTTGGGCACAAGTCGCACGTAGTGCGTACGCCGCTAGTATATATATCCTATATATATACACACCCACCAAAACTTATAAAATAAATTTGAACCTTCAAAATTTATGTACAAGATCCGCCACGTAAAAACTCCGTCTAACGCTAAAAGGAGTTCACTCGCACACAATAAATGTCTCTAAATTTTAATTTTAATCAATTGCCAAATAGATTCACTATCCAATAGTTTTAAGCCATGTGGTAAACAAACACTATTTTTATAATGTTATAACATTTTCATTTTTATACTCTGAGTTTTTTAAAAATTTATATCAAATCAAACATTTTTTTTGTAATTTTTCATATGATATCAAAAATACATATGTTTTTTTAAATCATGATCATGTATTTTAAATTTGGTCTGACGAATGACTAGTAAATGTGTATTTCACTAAAGTACTTCCTCTATCGCTTAAAATGTTCTCATAAATGTTAGTGACCGTATGTCCCGAAAACTAGTGTTATAATATAACAATATATTATACATAATATATTACCGAGTATAAATGTTAGTGACCGTATGTCCATATATTACAAATATGCAATCTTGCATATTCTTTGGGTGTAATCCAATTATTAAGACTTGACAACACTAAGAGTTAGCTTTAAAACAAAAACAATACTAAATGATACTCCGTATAAACAATGCTAGGTAAATGGGGTTAATTATATTTCATGGGGTTAATTATTTAGGAACCATACCGAACTGTATTGAAAAGAACCGTACTTTGGGACGGGACATGTTTTTTAAAATAACTGTCTCGTACTCAGGGGCGTATCCAGAGTGGGGGAAGGAGGGGCAGCTGCCCCCACTCAACCCCACCCCAACCCTTTTATAAATATATCCAATTTAAATTTATACATATATTTTTGTTCTAAATAAAGGGTTCTTATAGAATAAGTACGAGGATTTTTATACAATGTGTTAGTGGCTGAGTGGAAGTAGATGCGGAGATAAGATTATATGTCGACCCCCTACTTGCAACAATGTTTGTTTTATTTTGTTTCTATTGTCTTTGAAGCGTTAAGCAAATTCCAAGTGGTTTTACATTGTTCTTTTTACTTTTTTTTCTTGTTGGAAGATCAAAACTACATCAATATAGTTACAATTCTAGTTTCACATACGAACTACATTTTTAATATAATTGTGATTTTTAAATTTAAAATAATTCTATTTAGATGCTTCTCCTTCCCTTAGTTGATTCATTTATATATTGACATAATTTTGCATAAATTATAGATTCCATGTGATAAAATTACTTCTAACAAAGTGAAGTTTAATTAAACCTGATATCATAACGTTTTTTTGCGAGAGAATATTTTGTTATTTATAATTTGTTTTACAATGTTTTTCTTAATCTGATTAGTCTAATTTTTTTCTTTTTAATCTAAGGTAAATTCACCCCTGCCATATTTTTCTGGATATGCCAGTGCCCTTACTTACCGACCTAAAGTTACCGTATGCTCACCCCTACTTTCTGCCGTTGTAGAGCCCGTTTGGAGAACTCTGTTTTCGGCTTATCAGGCTTATCAGCCAGCTTTTTCACCAAACACGTAACTTTTACTTTCGCGCGCTGAATTGTGTAATAAGCCGAAAAAGTAAGGTTGGAGTTACTTTTCTGGCTGTATTGGCTGAAGTTACTGTAGAGGACCATTTTAGCTATTTTTACATATAATTTTTTATTTAATTTATTAATAAAATATATTTTTAAAATATTTTTTTCTTAAATCAGCAGAATCAGCCAAAACAGCCACTCCAGTCAGAATATCATAAATTTCAACAGAATCAGCCAAAACAGCCGATTTTGGTGCTACCAAACGGGCTCGTAATCTATTTCTTCTCTTCAATGATATCTTATGAAATTGAATGGTAACTGATTTGTTTTAACGAGAAGAAATGTTAGGATATAATCGGATTTGATTTTACGCTAATTGGCGATCGAAACAAATGATGAAGGCATGATGGATATAAACGAGTTAATAAATTATTATTTTGGCAATAATGTAGCTATTTCAAATGTTGGTGTGAAACTCATGATTAATAAAAGTAAAAACATTTATTTGAGGATTATAATCAGAATAACTGGTTGATTATTTAATTAATATATTTATTTATTTGATTAGAAACACTAATTTCATCATCAATGTATGGTTGGTTGTGGGCTTATGGCACACAAATGGAGGGCAAAAAGTTTAGGCCTCAAGGAAGAAAGTTGATACTATTTTTGTGTCACAAAATGTTTTCATGGCGTGAAATGTGACAGAAAGTCAGAATGGTGGCAATAATTTTGGGGGTACCCCTAAAGTTACCGGTGCACTTGTACACACAATTTGTAAACATTTATTGTATACACACCCAAGCTGCCTGTATACTCAACAAGCATTAGCTCTCCCTGAAAAGGAGGTGATCCAGCCGCACCTTCCAGTACGGCTACCTTGTTACGACTTCACTCCAGTCACTAACCCTGCCTTCGGCATCCCCCTCCTCGCGGTTAAGATAATGACTTCGGGCATGGCCAGCTCCCATAGTGTGACGGGCAGTGTGTACAAGGCCCGGGAACGAATTCACCGCCATATGGCTGACCGGCGATTACTAGCGATTCCGGCTTCATGCAGGCGAGTTGCAGCCTTCAATCCGAACTGAGCATCTGAACGAGCTGCTTGTGTATACAGACAACTAACTAAGGTTGTGTGTACAACAAATGTGTACAAATGATTTTTTCCTAATTTTAGTGTCACCAAGAAAATGTCAGAAAATCTCATGCAACACTCACAGAGTCATAGTATCACAAAATATTATGATTCGTTAACGTTGTTAAGCATTGTATCATGGGACAATCATGATGCACTTGGGTATCATAAAAAAGCATGACACATTAGTACCACGATACAAGAAAATTTATAAATCACTCTTACCTTATCAATTCAATATTTTGATCACATAACTCATTTTTTTTTTAATGATCGTATCATCTCCCCATGTCTTGTGCTAGTGGGACGGATGAGTTAGTATGATGCAAGCGAAGTGGTGCACTACTTGTTTGTGCTTGCTTCTTAAGGCACCTGAAGAGGTTCCCATTATTCTGATCTGATGTCGATCTTCACTTTTGCTCTTGACGTAGGGTTATGTAAAAGACTAAACTACGAAATCGTTAAACCAGTTTGTACATCATGTAAAAACGTGTTACTTAATTGTAGTATCAAACTGAATGATGGGTTATATTTCGGTAATAGCTAAACTGATACAGAATACTTGCCAAACACCTTAACAAGTCAAAAATTTGCAATACGGATTAAGTATGTCTTATTTTAATTATCCAAAGACATCTTCTTTGACTAGATGGCCATTATATTTATATCTCATATGGATTAGGAGACATCTTAATTCCATGGTTTTATATCTGATTAATGGTGTACTAGCTAGAGGAAACAAAACCATACTTCTTTTTTTGTTAAAGAAAAACCATACTTAGCTTCCTTACATGTATGTATACATGAGAATGATTGGGTAAGGCAGTAGGCTATATTTAAGATTAACAATGAGGTCTCTTTCATTTTAGGTCAAATAAGAATAAAATTATCCCAATTTTTTTAGATATTAATATCATATATTGATTTTAATCACTAAACAATGGGACAATTGAACTCATAAGATTGATACAAATGAAAGAGACTTAAGATTGTGCATGTTAAGCCTACCTTACTCAATCATTCTCCTGTAAATAAAGGACACAACACACAGTTATTGCATAGTCCAGTCCAAGTAATAAATAACTAATAGAACAAGCTGAGTTTATGAGATGTAGTTAAAGTAAATTAAGAGTTTTGAATTTGGGGTATGGAAGTTGGCCAGGGAGGAAGCGTGATGCTCATTGTACAATTGCAGGGAGGTACTTTGCAAAAGGATTTCAGAGTTTGGGTTCTCAAATTGCAAGAAATAACCTCATCTTGAATACGTATATAAACAACATTGATATCCAATGGATGGATAGCCAGCAATGGTAGCCGTGAGGTTGATATTACAGGTAGCCAATCCCGGCCGTGCCTGATGCTGCTTTCTTCTTGCAGATGTACCTGCCGCTGCATACTCCACTCCGGCCGCCCCTGCCTCTGGTGCTTCAGCTCCCATATCCTCAATGTGGCATAGTGCAGCTCCGCCACGTAAAGCCGGCCGCCGCACAGACCGAAACAAAATAACTCCTCCGTGGGCACGGCGGCGCCTGCGGGCGGATCCAGGATGAAAGGGATCTTGTCATTTTCCACATCGTAAAGAATTGCCTGCATCTGGCTGTCCATCCAATGCAGGTACCCCTGGTAGAAAAGGGGAGGTGGCATAAACATGAAGTCCGTCCAGGTAATGGGCTTGGGAGATGTCACCATTCTCCGGATCCACTTTCCTGTCTCGGAGCAAAAGGTCCCCACCTCGAATTCGGACGCCGGTCTGGGCTCCCGGGGCGGAAGAATCCGAACAATCTTGAAGCGAGGGCGGGGAGGGTCCGGGTAATAGGCTAAGCCCACCACTACATCCAGATCTGCGCCAAACCCCGGCGCTGCGGGGAGTCCGACCCAGGTCTTGGTGATCGGGTTAACTATGTGGTAAAACAGCTGATATTTGGCGTCTGGATCGCACAATAACAGACCTTCGCAGTAACCCATCACGAATTTCGAAGTTATCACAGATTCGTAAAAGGGGAGGAAGTCCAGGGAAAATTGGCGCTCAAAGTGAGGATGAAACAGGAACAGATGCACCCTGGTGGAGCAGCGGGTGGCGACGCACTCCTCTTCGCCGCTAAGCTGGTGGTGGCCGCAAAAACGGTCGAAGAAAAAACGGGTCGAAATTAGGTCTCGCCACCGCTTGCACACCGCTTTGCAACGAGCCACCGATTCAGAGGGGGCACGCTGCAGGATCTCCACCAACACATCGTCGTGGAAAACTCCGTTTATTTTGCTCCTCCCCTTCCTCCTCCTCCTCATCATCTTCTTTCCTACGCCAAACGCCATCTTCTTTCTCCTTTCTTTCAAACTCTTAATTTCCACGTCTTATGTAAATTGTGCTTATTCGGCTCTCATATGATTTTTTTTTAATGACTGTCGGAGTGTGTTTTGGGGGAAGGGTTCTTGCGAGGGTGATGTTTTAAATTTGATTTTGATGTGATTTGATTTGAATTGGGTTAATCTAGTTATGAAATTGTCTTAATTAATTGGGCCTCGTTCGATCTAATCTGATTTGTTCTCCTTTTTTGTTTGATTTAAGGTCCGTTTGAAAAAATTGAAAAAAAAAACGTTTATCGATTTTTGGCTTAAAAAAGATAAAATTAGTGTTTTCAAGTGATAATTTTATTCAAAAACTTATTTCCCGGCTTTTGGCTGAAAATTACTTTTTATTTTTTCTATTATACAAAAGCACATATTTAATTAAATTCTACAAATTTTTACTTTTCGAAATCACTTTATTCTCAAACACTATCAACTTTTACTATTAATCATTTTTTCCACAATCATTTCAAAAATTGCTTTTTTAAAGTAAAATCATTTGCAAACACTCTCTTAATCTAATAAAAAATCATTTGTATGAAAAACACCCTTAGAATCAGAATCTGTTTCAAAATGAGAATTTTTCGGTCTTTATTTTTTATTTTCATAATCAATAGGTAATATTAATATGATGACAATTTTGTAACTATGTATGAATAATTAAAAAAAGGCCCTACTTCAATTTAAGTTAATTACAAATATATATACTCATGTGTGTATTAACCAATGATTGTAACTGAAGGTACTATGGGCCCAATTCATAGCCCAGATACAGAAACGTATACTTAATTCTGCCCTAGCCCAAACAAAGGATTACTAATAAAGCCATAAAAGACTGAACATGGAGATCCAAATCCACTACAAGGCTGGCCACGCCTGAGCTAGCCTGGACAACAGGCATCAGGCCTAATGGTCAGCCCGTGGAGATCGGACTCTACCTAAGGCTCAATAACGAGTCACGAGGCCCCGAACAGGAGGATCTAGGCCATCATGAGGTCAATACGCCTGAGCCAACCTGGACATCAGGCACCATGCTCAGTGAAAATCCCTTGGAGACCGGACTCTTTTTAGGCCTTACATGGCAATCTTTATATATACAGACAATATGGTGGAAATCTAAATAGAACTCTATTTGGAGCCAAAAGAAGTGAAATTTTATTGTCACAATTAATGAAGCAATATTTAATATTCAACAATTAATAACAACCAATGATTAATACAAGTGTAATTAATAGTTATAAGTTACGAATTAAATGTTAAAAAACAGGATAAATACAATAAATATAAACAAAGTTGAATTGTTAGATAAATATTAAAAAAACATATACATGCACGATTAATTAATAGGCATAGTATAATAATAGTCTGTTTGGTGACCCTGTTTTTCGGTTTATCAGCAACTTTTTTTTATCAAACACGTAACTTTTGATTTCGTGCCCTGAATTGTGTAATAATAAAAAAAAGTAAGGTTGTGGTTACTTTTTTGGCGGTATTGGCTAAAATTACTGTAGATGATCATTTTAGTTATGTTTTTCATATTTTTTCTTTATTATATTTTTTAAATATTTTACAAATATTTTAAATATAATTTTTTCATAAATCAGCAGAATCAGCCAATTTAGTCAGAGTTTCATAAATTTCAGAAGAATTAGCTGATTCAGACAATCTCAGTGTTACCAAACGGGCTCTAAAATTAGAAAGATAGAATATCCTAATTTTCAAATATAAAAATTGAATACTACACTACATTCAAGCGTAATAAATCGGGATATAAACATTGTATAATACACAACGATAATAATTGATACTACCCCATAAAACTTGATCATGGTTGACTTTCATGTGAAATACGGATTGTGAAAGTAAAAATTATGTGATTGATGTTTATGTGGAGAGAAAAATAATATTAAATACATATTTACTACTTTGAGTGAAAACAATAATTTGGGGGTACGTGGTAGAATATTTATTTAATAATTTCATACTAGGGAAAACTGTCAAATAGGTCCTCGAACTTTCATTAAAAAGTCAATTAAGTCCTTCTATAGGAGACTCTGTCCGGTCGTCGCGATTTGGGGCGGTTCTCGGTGGAATTTTTTGATGAAATTTTTTGAGCATCTTATTCATCAAGTCTAGTTTACTCATACCAAATTTCAGCTAAAAATTTTATCGGGAGCGCATTCAAATTAATTTGAGAATGCAAAAATGCGCAGTTATCTTCAAGAATTAATTTGAATGTGTTCCCGATTGAATTTTTAGTTGAAATTTGGTATGAGTAAACTAGACTTGGTGAATAAGATGCTCAAAAAATTTCATCAAAAAATTCCACTGGGAACTGCCCCAAATCAGGACGGCCGGACAAAACCTCCTATAGAATGACTTAATTGACTTTTTTATGAAAGTTCGAGAACTTATTTGACAGTTTTCTCTTTCATACTACGTATGAATTAGTGTGATCTTTAACAATTATCTTACATGTATTTCAATATAGTTCAATATTGGGTTTTAAATTTTACAACAAGTATGTATATATACATAATTCATGAAATCAATGAATTTCAAAAATAAAATAATTACATTTGTGATCCGTGCAACACACGGATGAACATAAGTGGCATCAAAAGAGTCATGGACATAAAAAGGGCATTAAAGACGGGAGTTGTGGCAGAGACATTACAATAGTCATACTATAATTAGAGTCGTTAATTACAATAATTAAGTCTCCTATTAATTGTACAATACAACACCTATAAATACTCTTGTCCATATCTTGTAAAGGAGGACCTTTCCATATATGAATAATACAGTTATTACTTTCTTCCTACGATCTATGAATATTTGATAGATTAATTTGTTGTTGCTGGAATTATATTCCATCAGTAAAAAATGAAAGAATGAAATAATAAATTCTCATTACAAGAAATTCTTATTTCAAGAGGGGTCCTCACGAAATAATAAATTCTCATTACACGAAATTCTTATACCAAAATCGGTCCCATGTAAGATCACGTAAGATTATACTAGATCAGATCAGACTGCAATAATTCTAAAATAAACATAGAATTGACATTCACTATATCGAATTAATTTAGATCAGAACAGATCAGAGTTAAAACAAATGTAACCGGATCAAAAAAATATGTCTGCTTAAAAAACATCTTGTCTCACTCAAATTGGGATATTAGAATTAAGAAAGTAGTGTAATTACTAATTACTAGGGAGTAACAAAAATGGAGACATGATATTGAAGCGAAGTCTTATACATAGTAATCAGTAAATATGTAACAACTAAAAATCTAGACCTCAAGCCCGGGTCCGTGAGCCCATACCTGCGATTTGGACCAGTAGACCCAAGTCTAGATCCATTGTCTCACTAGGCTAGTTGGACCAGCGGGCCTAGCAACTAGAGCTCGAGTCAGCCCAACTGATCTAGTCCATTGAGGAACGGGAGTCTAATAGAGCGAAAGTCCAGCAGAGTAAAAGTCCAAGACGGTCTGCCTATCGGCCCAACCGGAAGCTCGCCTTCCAATCCAGCCAGAAGCCTGCCTCCAGTCCAACATGGAGCCCGCCTACCGGCCCAACTGGAAGTCTGCCTTCTGGCCCAGCTTGGAGCCTGCCTCCAGTCAAGTGGGGAGCCTACCTCTAGCCCAATATGGGAGCATGCCCACCAGTCTAGCCGAGAGCATGCCTGTTTGCCAAGCCATAAGCCAGTGTGTCAGTCCAGTAGGGAGGGAGCTCCGAGCTCGAGGGGCACGCCTGCCAGCCTGGCCGACTCGCCATCCAGGAACATTAACGACGAGAATATTTAATGTGTTACTTAGGATGTTTTCTTTTTGAATGTTTTCAATCCCAAACCAGACTTAAACAGAATAGACCAGATTAGAGCAGACCAGACTTAAATAGACCAGGCCAGACCAATCTTGGACAATTATAAAATACATATAAACCATACATGTAACACCCCAATTTTGTGAGCTAGTTTTATGAGTCATTATTATTTTAGTCAGTTAAATAAGTTCTTTTGTGAACAATAAGATATTATTTTATCATGTTCATTCGTGACTCGTAACGTTGACCGGTAAGCTCCATAAAGTTAAAATAAATAAATAAGTATCTCCAAGTCTAAAGTTTAATCTGTTCATCTTGAAAGAGAGAATATTATTAGTGTTTTGGGCTTGGACAAAAACATTTCCATAAAATAATATTAGGAGCCCTAATCAATCACAGCCCAAATAAGTCTCTTTTAAACTCAATCCTTGAAGAAGCTACGCCTCTTTCTTCCTAAGAGCCGAATAATCCCTCTGGTAGTTTGTACGAAGTATCTTTCTTCCTTTGGAGCCACCGAAGCTCATCAGCTCCTCTCAATGTAATAGCAAGTCACATCTGGTATGCTTAGTTTCGATCCTCCGTATCCAAATTGTTTTGATCTCTTTTAATTGATTTTAAGGAATTTCTCCATACTTACAATTCCATCCGTTCATTTAAGGGTTAGTGGAACAAAATTTTCATTAAGGCACTTAAAGTTTTAAAAATCATTACATGAAATGATTTGGTGTGTGCGTAGGTTATTTTGGTCAAATATAGAACTTGATTGCTTAGGTTTTGGTTGCTGGGTTCCAATTCAGGAGGTTTACGGGCAACAAACTTTTATTTAAATTCTTGGCTTTGGAGTTCAAATTGGCTTTGTTAATTGTTTTCAACTTGTAAATCATACTGGGTATTTCAGTCTAAGACACATCAATGATATTTCTGTAAAGAGAGTTGTTTATGAATTTTAAATTTAAAAAGGGGCTGTTTTAAGTGTGTGGTTATGAGGGCTGTTCAGGTTGGTATTTTATTTGAATAGCAACCTTAAATCTGGTGAGCTACATAATGATTTTTCTAAAAGTAAGAAGGATGTTTTCTTTGTGGTCATTACTGAATCGTGTTAGATGGTGGGTAGTAGCAGGAAATTCAAATCCCAAGTGTTTGTTATTAGCTAGATTATTTATGGTCTTAGTGGGTTGATAGGCACAAAGCTCTAGCTACAAAATTTCCATCTATTTTATTGGCATCTCTCCGTAGAACGAACTAGTTTGATAGTGCAGTTGG